TCCACTCAGTTAGCGTATATCCTTCCTTCAATCACTTACCTAACCATTTCTTTTGCAATTTGCTTCAAACACTCACACTGGAAAAGCATTCCAGTGTATCACTGCACCAGGTACAGTTTCTGCTGCACTCTGTCCTGAACACTTTATATTTAATTATTTTCTAATTTATCTCTTCACTTTATACCCCTCAATAACTGAAATAGTCTGTACCTTTATTTTCTGTTCATTTTTCAAAATTTTAAACATGTTTATCAAATCATCAAAATATCCTTCTTTAATCTAACCAAAACAGCTGCCAAATTTCACAGAATGATTGCAACACAGGAGGCCAAAAGCGAAGTACCGCACATGGTGGAAATCTGTAATAAAAACAGAAAGTACTGGAGAAACTCAGTAGGTCTGATAGCATCTCTGGCAAGAACAACAAAGGTAAAATTTCAAGTCTGATTTGACACTTCAGAACTGGCTCCAGTTTCAGTTCCATAGAAGAGTCATATCAAATGCGAAACATTAACTTTGTTTCTCTCTCCACAGACGCTGACAAAACTGCTGACTTCTCCAGTACTTTCCGTTTTTATTACAGGAGGCCATACAGTCATTCCAATCTGTGCTGGGTCTTCGACAGAGCAACTTAACCGTGTGCTAGTCCCCCACCTCTTCCTTTGCAGAATAATTCAATTCCCTCGAGCACCTCGATTGAAGCTGTGTCTAGAGTCATAGAGATGTACAGCGCGGAAACAGACGCTTTGGTCCAACTCGTCCACACCAACCAGATACTCTAAACTGATCTAGTCCCATTTGCCAGCATTTGGCCCATATCCCTTTAAACCCTTCCTACTTAGGTACCCATCCAGATGCCCTTTCAATGTTGCAATTGTACCAGCCTCCACTACCTCCTCTGGCAGCTCACTGCACTCTGAGGTAACCTTCTTTGCTGTCCACTACACCACAAATATTGGTGTCATCTGCAATCTTACTAACCATACCTCCTATGTTCACATTCAAATCTTTTATATAAATGACAAAAGCAGTGACCCACCACCGATCCTTGTGGCACACTGCTGGTCACAGGCCTCCAGTCTGAAAAGCAACCCTCCACCACCACTTCTGTCTCCTATCTTCAAGCCAATTTCATATCTAATTAGCCAGCTCCCCCAGATCCCATATGATCAAACCTTACTAACCAGTCTACCATGCGGAACCGTGTCGAACGCCTCACTGAAGTCGACAAAGACAACATCCACTGCTCTGCCTTCATCAATCTTCTTCGTCACTTCTTCAAAAACTCAATCAAGTTAGTGAGATCTGATTTCCCATGCGCAAAGCCACGTGGACTATCCCTAATCAATCCCTGCCTTTCCAAATACATGTAAATCCTGTTTCTCACAATCCTCTCCAACAACTTACCCTCCACTTATGTCAGGCTCACCAGCCTATAGTTACTTGGCTTTTCCTTACCACCTTTCTTAAATAACGGCACCACATTAGCCAACCTCCAGTCTTCCAGCACCTCACCCTTGGCTATCGATGATACAAATATCTCAGCAAGGGACCAACAATCACTCTCCTGGCTTCCCACAAAGTTTGGGGTACATCTCATCAGCTCCTGGGGATTTATCCACTTTTATGCATTTTAAGACATCCAGCCTCCCTATCTTTGTAATATGGTGGCTCTTCAAGATATCACTATTTATTTTTCCAATTTCTCTAGTTTCCATATCCTTCTCCACAGTAAATACTAACGCGAAATACTCATTTAGTATCTCACCCATTTCCTGTGGTTCCACACATAACTGGCCTTGTTGATCTTTAAGGGGCCCTTTTCTCTCCCAAGTTATTCTGCTGTCCTTAATGCATTTGTAGAATCTCTTTGGATCCTCCTTCACACTATTTGCCAAATCTATCTCATGTCCCCTTTCTGCCCTCCTGATTTCCCTCGAGTGTACTCCTGCTGCCCTTATACTCCTCTAGGGATTAACTGAACCCCAGCAGTCTATATCTGATACATGCCTCCTTTTTTTTTCTTGACCAGAGCCTCAATTTCTTTAGTCAGTCAGCATTCCCTTCACCTACCAGCATTGCTCTCTGGATTCTTGTTATTTCATTTCTGAAGGCTTTCCACTTTTCAGCCATCCCTTTACCTGCAAATAGTCAGCCCCAATCAATTTCTGAAAGTTCTTGCCTAATACCATCAAAATTGGCTTTCCTCCAATTTATAACTTTAACTTTTAGACCAAGTCTAAATTTTCCATAACTATTTTAAAACTAATAGAATTATGATCATTGGCCCCAAAGTATTCCCCCAGTGATGTCTCAGTCACTTGCCCTGTCTTATTTCCCCAGAGAAGGTTAATTTTTGCTCCTTCCCTAGTGGTAAATCCACATACTGATTCAGAAAATTGTCTTCTACACACTTAACAAATTCCTTTCCATCCAAGCCCTTAACACAACGGCAGTTCCAGTCTATGTTTGGAAAGTTAAAATCCCCTACTTTTACAATCCTATTATTCTCACAGATAACTGAGATCTCCTTACAAATTTGCTTTTCAATTTCCCACTGGCTACTGGGGGATCACTCCCTCAGTCCATGCATTCCAGATCCTAACCACTTGCTGTGTGAAAGATATTTTTCATGTCACAATTTCTTCTTTGCCACTGACCTTTAATGTGTGCCCTGCACTTCTCAATCCTTCCCACAATGGGAAGTTTCTTCCATATCCACTTTGTCCCGATCCTTCATACTTTTGAATATCCCTATCAGAAACCCCCTCATGGAAGCTAAGACCAAATTTCTCCAAACTACCTATGTAACTGAAATTCCTATTTCCCGGAACCATTCTCATCAATCTTCAGTGCACTCTTTCCAATGTCTTCACAACCTTCCTAAAATGTGGCACTCAAAACTAGACACAATACTCCCTTGTGTCCAAACTAGTGTTCTACACAAATTTAACATAACTTCCTTGATGCTGTACTCTATACCCCTAAACTTAAACAATAAACAATCTGTTGAATGTTTATTTAGTGCACTCTAAACCTGTCTTGAAAAGTTCAATGTATTTCCATACAGACCAAACACCACTGCTCCTGCACCCTCTTTAGAACTGTATCGTTGATTTTGTATTGTCATTCTCCCAAAATAAATCATTTCGCATTTCAGTTCACACTGAAAAATAACAAATCTGAGCTGCAAAATGTGTTGTTATTACAAATAATGCATTTGTCACTGGAATGGCTATGATTCACCAAAAATAATTATGAGGATCCAGCCAATCATTCTACATCTAATCGTTTTTTTCTATCAAATTACCACAATATAAAACGTGCACACAAAAATGGATGGCTGGCACAGTATAATTCAAAACAGTAAATGTTTACTGGCAATATAGGGATTGAGATCACAATTCACTGAATTGGTCAGTCTCACTCCATAACAACTTTAACTAAGTGAACCTGTGGAACAAATAGTTCACGTAATCTACCAAATTGTGATCATATATTAGTTTCCCTGCAGATTATGTTGTGGCATAGTGTGCTCACTATTTTGCAGATGAAACACTTGAACAATATTGAACCACCAAGGAATGAAGAATTGTATTGATGCAGGTGATTTAATATCATAGAAGGAGTGATGTTTGACACACACAAAAGATCATAAAGTTGATTATTAAAATATATGTTATTTTGCAAATGCATATTTTAGATTGCTAATTCTTCACGTTCAGAGTTCATGAGCAGCAAGCAAATCCTCGAGGTCTGGAAAATAGGTTATGTGGGCACCATTTTCAAGAACAAAGGAAGGCTATATCAAATTATAATCCTTTAAACCACCCTCTTATTTGTGGTAAAATGTCTCAAAGTATTATGAAGGTTAATATAACGGAGCATCTTACAGGTCATGAACAAATACAATACAGTTAGGATGATTTTAAGGATGAAAGGTTATGCTCCACTAATTCTTTTGGATTTATTTGATAAGCAGACAATCCAACTCGAGCTGAGAGAGACAATGAATGATAGCTACTTGCATTTAGGCACAAGTTTTGGCATTGTCCAAAGTAACAGGCTGATACAAATGATGAAGCTCCTGGGACGGATGAAAATGTATTAGACAGAAACAGACAGGTGTTTCTGCAATCTCATGCTCGAATTCAGGATTATATATTGCCTCCTCGGTGCCAGAGTCAAGGATGCTGCTAAACAGCTGAGGGGAGTGGGGGTGGTGAACAGCGAGTGGTCTTGATCCACATCAATCCCAATGACATCGGCAGAAAGAGGGAAGAAGTTCTGCGATCAAAATTTAGGTGACTAGGTGGCAAATTAGCAACAATCTCAAAAGTAGTAATCTCCAGATTACTCTTCCACACCACACAAAAATGAGCATATGGAAACAGGATGATAAAGCAGATGAATGCGTGGCTGGAAATATGGTAGAGGAGAATGTTTTAGATACCAGGGATATTGGGATCACTGTTGGGGAAGAAGGGATTTGTACAGGTTGAATGGGTTGCACTCAGCAGAGCTGGGACAAACCTCTATGTAGGACAATTTGTAAGCTCTACTAGGGAGGGTTAAACTAACTTGGTAGTTATGTCAGAACTATAAGGTAATACTCTAAGGGAAACAAAGGATTCACAGAATACTAAGAGGGACAGTTGACATGAGACTAGGAAAGAAAGCTTTAGCATCATGTAAAATATATCAAGTTTGAATTAGGGTTAGCATGTGGCTACATGAATACACAGGGTATGGTAAATGAGACTGGGGAGTTGGAGCCAAAGATGGAAATGCAATGTTGTGGCTATAACAATGGCCTGGCTTACAGAAAGACAGGATGGATATTAAATGTTCCTGAATACAAGGTGTTCAGTAAACGTATGCAAGGAAGGAAATGAGGAGGGTGACAGCATTGATGAATGAAAATATTTTAAGTGCTGGAGAGAAGTATGTTCTAGAGGGATTAAAGACAAAATCTATTTGGCTGGAGCTAAGGAACAAAAGCAGGTGCAACTAAATTGTACAGTGTAGTGTACAGACCACAAACTAGTAGTAATGATATGCAGGAACAAATTTTCAGGGGAACTAGACAGAGACTAGAGAGAGAAATACAACAATTACACAGTAGTTATATCAAGGATTTGATTTATCCAAATACAGACTGTGATAATAGTAGTTTACAGGGCTGAGAGAGGTAGAAGTTCTTTGAGTGCATTTAGGAAAAAATTCTATAGTAATATGTTTCCAGTCCAATGTGAAAGGAGATATTGCTAGACCTGATTCTTGGGAATGAGATGGACCAAGTATATCAAGTGTCAGAACAAGAACATATAGGAGTCAGGTATCATTGTATCATAAGGCTTGCTATGGAAAAGGACACGAAACAATCCAAAGTGAAAATAATTAACTGTGGAAAAGCCTCTTTCAATAAGGTAAGAATGGGTTTGATGCAGATAAAATGCAATCAAAGGTTGGCAAGAGGAGTGGTGATGAAATTTTGGGCTGCTTTTAAAGAAGAGATAGCTCAGACACAATCAAGATATATTCCCACAAAGGGAAAAGATGGGGCAAACAAGCCCAAAGTACTCTGGAGTGTAAAGGAAACAGAGATTAAGATGAAGAAGAAGTATGCTTATGA